ATCTTACATTCATCTTTGTTCTTGAGATTTGATGAAGATTACTTCAAGATTCGTATGAAATCTGGACTTTTCAACAAGTAACCGGTAGGTGTGAAACAAAATCAAACCAAAGTCTCATCTGAAAGTGGGACTTGAGAAAGGTAACATGTACGCAGAATTGCCTTCTACTCTAAAGAGTAGAGTTTGTTGTTTACGTAAAAACCCTCTGCTTGTAATGGGGACTACATCTAAAACTGAAATTGGTTCTCCTGTAAGCATCAACAGTGAACATGATTTCGCAAGTAACTTTCCCTTTACTCCTAACTAGTGTATGACATCGCGCTATAAAATTTTTAAAATTTATTGATGTAGTCAAATGAATCGATGATCAATTTTATATATTAAACTAATAAGAATCAATATTACTTTTGATATATGAATATAACTTATCATTATTGATTGTTTTTTTAACACACATACACACACACACACACACACACACACACACACATATATATATATATATATATAGGGCCAAGATCAATTGATAACCGTTCATTTTGTATTAACTTTGTTCGCCTATCTCAACCAATCAAATTCCTTCATTATTGTAGGTTAATGTATTGTCCAATTTTTACTTCCAAGGGTAGTTTAGTCATTTGGTCACATATGTAACCCCCAAACCAATAATGGGGGGTTACAAAAAAATCAAATCCCAAGAAATAATCATTTATTTAATTAATATATTTCTTTTTAATCATTCGAATTACATGATCAATATTGTAGGAAAAAATCAAATCCCCAAAAATCATCATTCATTTAATTAATATCTTTGTTTTTAGTATTTATATTTCATGTTCACTTTTGTAGGAGTTTTAAATCGAATAAGAAACACGGTAGTAATGATATTCAGCGTCGATCAAGCTAATATGGATAAACGTAACGGAAAAGAAATTGATAACAACGTGGAGATTACAAAGGTTTGTGAAGACAATCCGAGTTCGGGTTCGGGAAGTCATGAAATCAACCAAACCGAACGTCTTGGTAATAGATTTTTTTATTCATATTGATTGAAAGAATGTTGTTGTCGATGTGTTGTGTTTTTTATTGTTCATCTCATATTATTTCTATGATATTCTATCACCATGGTGCATTTTCATCTCACGCGTAAAGATTGTTAATTACGAGTGGTCAACTAATTATGTAATTCATTTATGTTCATATTTGGTTCACGCAAAGGAAAAGAAATCGACAACAACGCGGAGATTATAATGGTTTATGAAGACAATCCGATTTCAAGGTCGGGAAGTCATGAAATCAACCAAACCGAATGTATTGGTAATAGTTTTTTTATTTTTTTTAGATTCATATTGATCGAAATAATGTTCATTACGATGTTGTGTGTTTTTTAATGTTCACCTCATACTACTTATTTGATATACATACGTGTTCATATACGTCATACATATACATACGTTCATGTTCGTGATGATCATTAGTTCATGTTCATCATTCGTTCATACATGTATGTATATATGTACATTTACATATGGTTTATGAATACAATCCGATTTCGAGGTCGGGAAGTCATGAAATCAATCAAACCGAACGTCTTGGTAATAGATTTTTATCTTTTTATATGTTCATATTGATCGAAAGCATGTCGTTGTCGACGTGTCGTGTTTTTTTATTGTTCATCTCACAATATTTCTATGATATTCTATTATCACCATGGTGAATTTTCATCTCACGTATAAAAAACGCTAACTATGAGTGGTCAACTAATTATAAAATTCATTTATGTTCATATATTGTTCACGCAAAGAAAAAGAATTCGACAACCACGTGGAGATTAAAATGATTTATGAAAACACTCCGATTTCAAGGTCGGGAAGTCATGGAATCAACCAAACCGAATGTCTTGGTAATAGTTCTTTTATTTTTTTTAGATTCATGTTGATGGAAATAATGTTCATTACGATGTCGTGTGTTTTTTTAATGTTCATCTCATATTATTTATTTGATATTATATCACCATTGTGCATTTCCAACTAACGTATAAAAATCGTGAACTACGTGTTTATATACGTCATACATATACATACGTTCATGATCATGTTCATCATTCGTTCATTTTGGTAATGTCAACGTTCATGTTTTTATACATGGCTCTTGTTCATTCATTTGCCCGTGTACATGTACATATACATACGGTCCCTGTTCATGATCATATGTGTACATATAGATATGGTTTATGAAGACAATCCGATTTCGAGGTCGGGAAGTCATGAAATCAATCAAACCAAACGTCTTGGTAAATAGATTTTAATTTTTTTTATATTCATATTGATCGGAACCATGTCGTTGTCGATGTGTTGTGTTTTTTTATTGTTCATCTCATAATATTTCTATGACATTCTATCACCATGTTGCATTTTCATCTCACGTATAAAAAATGTTAACTACGAGGGTCAACTAATTATAATATTCATTTATGTTCATATATTGTTCACGCAAAGGAAAAGAAATCGACAACAACGTGGAGATTACAATGGTTTATGAAGACAATCCGATTTCGAGGTCGGGAAGTCATGAAATCAACCAAACCGAATGTCTTGGTAATAGTGTTTTTATTTTTATTTTTTTTATTCATTTTGATCGGAAAAATGTTCATTACGATGTCATTTGTTTTTTAAGGTTCATCTCATACTATTTTATTTGATTTTTCTATCACCATGGTGCATTTTCAACTAACGTATAAAAATCGTTAACTACGTGTTTATATACGTCATACATGACCATACGTTCATGTTCATGTTCATCATTCGTTCGTTTGGTAATGTCAATATATATGATATTGAATACATGTCTCTTGTTCAGTTGGTAATGTAAACATACGGTTCCTGTTCATGTTCATATATGTACTTATACATATGGTCCATGTTTATGTTTACCATCCGTTCATGGTCTTTTCTTTTTTTCAAAATTTTACATTAAAATTTTTAATTTGTGTTTTTTCATGGTGTGTTCTAGATGTTTGCAATTGTTCATATTATTGGGTGGCTAATAGCATCTCTTAGCGTGTCTATATACGTCTTACAATAACATCGTTCCACAGTTTTTTTAATGAAATTAGAGTATGTACATGTTAACATCTTAACATGTTCGGGGGGTTAGTTCATTTATTTGTTAGTGTGTTCCCATGTTCATATGATTATATCAGCAGGTGTTCCTATTCTTKCAATATCAGAACATGAACCGGAGTACGCCGTCGAGGAGTGTTCTCAAGGAAATCAGTTTTTTATCCCCAAGGTTGATGGTGATCTTAAACCAAAGATCAACTCACACTTCTTAACTATAAATGAAGCAGAGAAGATGTATAGGGCATACGCGAACAATGCTGGATTTGATGTTCGGCTGCACGCCAAAAAAACAAACAAGAATGGAGACATACAAACAAGATGGTTTGTATGTAATAGGGAGGGAACACCAAACAAACAGTTTTTTTATTCGATGGATATGCAGTCTGGTGAAAGGAGATATCGTAACACGAACCTTAAACGTTGTGGATGTTTAGCATGCATAAAAGTCCATTTGAAAAAGGATAAATCCGGTTACGAGATATATGAGTTTATCGAGGCACATAATCATGCGCTGTTCAATACTAACGATCGATGTTTCTCAAGGAAAAATAGACAAATGAAGTATACGGATTACAAAAATGTCTTGAATAGCCCGAGCTACAAAGTTGGTGCGATTAGGGCTCACCGTATACAAACTGCATTAAATGGTGGGTTTGAGCACAATCGATGTTATGAGATCGACTTTAAGAATTTCAAGAGAGATGCAGTTGCGTGTGTTGGTAAAAAGGATGCAAAGATGTTGATCAATAAACTATCCAATAGACGAGATATTGTTCCCGGTTATTTTTTCGAGTACAAGTGCAATGATCAGGAGTTGGGTGCCATTTTCTGGGCAGATGAGGTCGCTAGACTTAACTACAAAGAATTTGGGGATGTAATTTCGTTTGACGGGACATTTCGCACCAACAAGTAAGATTTTCAAGTTGAATCTGTTTCTTTTATGTATGGTACTCATCAGTTTTTTATAATATTTTATTTTACCTAATAGGCATGCGATGAGTTTTGTTCCCTTTTTGGCGGTTGACAATCACAAAGCTTTGGTTGTTGTCGGATCGGCGTTAATAAGTGGTGAGACAATTGAAAACTTTACATGGGTTCT